GGCAACTGCTGACGTGCACTCGTCGGTGAGAGAGATTCGCTTGCTAGGCCAGAGTTTCTGTCGTTGTGTCCACGGAAGAAGGTTTTGATTCTCCTTGAAAATCCTGTGATCTGGGGTTGGTGGAAGGGGACGGTTGCAAATCGGAGGGCTCTGAAGAAACTTGAGCAAGTACATCAACGTTCGTGGCTTCATTCGTAATAACAGCGGTCGTTTCTGCTTTCAAAACAGCCGCCTCCTTGTCCGGCTGGGTGGATGACGAATCTGCATGTAAGCCTGGTGAGGTCTGCGATACAGGCTTCGTGGACACCAGACCTTCCGTTGATGTAGTTGTAGCTGTATCTTGACTAGAGGAGTTGGGGAGAGATACCTCAAGCGGAGAAAGTAGAGAAGAAGAATCTTCAGTATCAGTCTTAGTGGTGCCAATCACCCCGTTTGAGAGTGGCTGGGGTTGGGTGATCCCATTGCCATTGACTGCAGGTGGCAGCGGCTTGTTTTCATCTGTAGCAGTAGGCTCTTCGATTACCTGTGGCTCAGAAGACATGGTTTCAGAAAGCCTCACAGTAACAGTTTTCGTTTCTAGAACCGGATTGCTACTAGATATTAGGAGGTCAAGGTAGTCAGCTTTATTGAACCTATGGTGTGTTCGCGCATTTCAGGGGCGGCAATAGAACAAGATATAGATATAGACGGGATACATAACAGACAGATACAAGCAAATAAATGGGTGGAGAGAGATTGGCCGCTGAGAAAAGGAGAGCACTCACTGAAATAATTCTGCATCAAGAGAAACGTGGTCAACAACGGGCGGTGGTTGGGTCTTTCTCTCCGGGACAACAGTGTCTGGGGGAGGTGTTGCCATAGTCATCAGTGGTGATCACGTGATATGCGACTTAGGGGGTGAACACGCGTGTTGCCCTCTAAGCCTGGCTATTTCAAGCAGCGCAACGGAAACGAGAGAAAAAGACAAAGTGAGTCGGGCTGCCTTGGATGCGGAGGACAGACAGGAGGACTTTTTAACGCGCCGCGTAGCAAACAGAGCAGACCAAGTTGGAGAATGCGCGACCCTGATAAACTTTGCCGGGAGGGAAGTCCAGGGCAGCCCACAATTTCATTCAGATATTGGTGGACGCCTCCTTGCTTCTTTGGACTAGCCCAGGATCCTAGATTAGACTAGACGAGACGAAGTTCTGGTCAGAGCCATGTATAGGAAATACGTATGTATGAAAGCAGCGGAGAGCAGCAAAAAAGAAAATAAAGTAATATCACGAGATACTGGTTAATAGAAAGGAAACGGGTTGCGAAAAAATAGCTTTTCCCGCAAGTATATTGTCTTTTCTGTTGTGATTGTAGATGATCAAAGTTGCTGTTGATGACGTGGTTGAGGATGAAGATGTCCTTAAATAGGGGGTGGTTGGAGGTACAGAAGTGCCAAAGGGAGGGAAAGCAGGAAAAAGGAAACAGAAAAGGAGAGGTTGGAGAAATACGCGATTTTATATTGCCAAGAAAGTTGACGGGGGAAAGCTTGTGGTCACGTGCGTGTGCAGGTGACTCAGTAGTAGGCGGCGGAAACGGCCAGGTACATACACCACAGCGGATGAGTGAAAGAGGAAGACAGATGATTGGCTAAGAATGAATGAGAGGAGAGGGATCAAAATCGGCGGAACAAAAGGTGAGGCGGAGAATCCCGCTGGAAACCAGATAAGAACAGCGCAAAGAAACCCGTGGATGCCCGGGATCGGGGAGAGGTGAGGGAACTCAGGTTGAAGGGGACGTGCGCGTTAACGTGGGTATTGTGGCAACTGTCAAAGTTGCACAAAAATTATGAAGCCCTCGGAAGATCCAGGGCAGCGGAAAGACAATAATAATACTGTGTGGGGAAGGAATACAGTCACAGGAGTAATCATAGTCATAATATGCTGCTTGGGTCGAAATACAGGCAATAGCCGGTGGCAATAAGGGAGAGAGGAGGGACAATAATACGAACAGGATTGCTAGGCTGACAACCGCAGTGGTGGTCGCAGGCCGCCGTGGAGATAAAACCAAGAGTGAGATTCCAGGGTTGCTGTTGGGTGGCGACGCTGGGGGAGGCGGAGTGAGTCCGTGGCGATGGGCGACAAGTGCGTGACCAGAAGACGCGAGGCGAGGCGAGGCAAGCGAAAAGAGAGACAGAGGAAACAGAGGGGGGGTGCTAGAATCCTTAAGTACGGGCAGACCGCTGGCTGCCAGTCCGTGCCAGGGAACCACAGCAGCCTGTCCCGCTAGCTTCGGATGACGCTGCTAAGGGCGGCGATCCATCCAGCTGGTATTCTGGCCGTGTTGATTGGCTGTTACGCGTCATGCCGGTCTTGGCTCGCCCGCTCATTGGTCCCAGCTTCCTGCCCTTTCCGAATCAAACGCTCTCCATCCCTGTCGATATTCTGTAATTTTATCAGTATTTTTCTGTTTTTGGTATTTCTCCACTTCTTCCTTCCTGTTTGTTCTGGGTCTTAGCGGCATACCGCGTAATTATGCCGCCATACGTCCATCTCGAGACATAACCGAATTTTACAAGTCTTGCCACAGCCACAAAGCTCATTTTATGCTTGATGCGACGCCTGTACGATGGCTGTATTCGCGTATTGATTACTGAATACAATACAGGCAATCCCCTTCCGATATACTCCCATATATACGGCTGTTTTTTTTTTTTTTGGGCACCGACGCATCAATCTCAGAGGGTGATACATGAAATATTAACAACCCCTTACGAGTAGCTTGCAAAAAAATACCCTGGAAAACCCCCAACAAATTTTCGTGGCGTAAATAAGGCTAAACCGTTCATCACGACCAGCCGGGATTTTTTTTTTTTTTTTTTTCCAGTTCAGTACTTCCAGGGCTTAACCCTGATGCTTCTCCGTTCTTGGACAGTGTGGCTTGCTGACGGTGTAAATTTGTTGCCAAATTCGGATTCGTGCCCACACGGGTGCCCGAGGCAGACCAATTGTTGCTTAGCTAATACACAAACAGGCGGATAACTTGGAATGGCCTAATATAACTCTCTAACTAACAACCAGCCCCTAGAGGGTTGGACGCAAATCAGAGGCTCGGAAACTATTTTCCGAGCAACGAACTAGCGAGATATAATTCTATCTCATATATACACATTGAATACTAGTATATATCCCCTTTTCTAGAAATGGCTTTGCAGGATTTCGGGAAGTCAACGAGCAACTAATTTAACCATATCCAATTATTCCACAGACTGGTCGTTTGCAATTCCCCAACGTCAAGAATCATCCAGATCTATCAAGGATGATCCAAACTCTTCTTTCACTAAGATATTTATTCCTCCCACCCCCGTCTCTGTTTGTCCGTGCGTGTCTGCATATTTGCCTGAAACCTACATATGCTCTCGCATAGTTGCACCCACAGCCATCATGCCAAGGTTGACTGAAGCAAAAAGGGTATGACAAAGAAAAAAAAAAAATAGGCAAGAAATGCAGACGGCAGCTAAGCATTGCATGCTCCAATGTCCTCCCGCTGCAGTGTGGCTGCCACGCCACAGTCCAATGAATGCAGATGGATAGCAGATTGATGACATCGACAAAATGCAGGTCTCCTGGGTTCCTTGCTCCCCAAAGGAGTTTTCTTCCATTCTTGCTATCTTCCTTGCTTTTAGTTTTGGAATGGGTGAGCGCATCTAAGTGACTCTTGTTACTGTTAGAGGACTTAGTGATAAGAACAGTGAATGAGGGCTTGTGCAC